TGGTGTTCTGTGGGTCCACCAGATCTATGTAAGTCAAGGCCAGGAACCTGGGAGGTGCCTCCTGCATATAAAGAATCAATATATTTTTGTTGAAGTGAATTAAGTAGCCTTCAACATATTTATTCTGCGTCTGAAACATCTAATTAAATCTACACACATAACCACATCATGATGGCCCAGACTAGAAACTTGATCAGGCACCAAGTCTACTACCTAGAATGTCTCTTAATTTCCAAAGAAACAAAGCTGCAAATACTTTTTGCTCTACTGAGCACCCCTACATTAGATTTATTCCTTGACCTTTTGAATTGCTACTTTCGCTGAAACAGAACATAAATGTGAATGTTAGACATCCCCTCTCAACAATGCCTAAAGATATTACCTCTGCCAGGAAGAAAAGATTTAGCAGAAACAATGGTGAATCAAGAATCCAGAAAGGTTGGTGTTCCTCTCATTACCAAGATATAATTCCGTAATTGTCTTTTAGGTTCATTTCTAACATATCTTCAGCAGAAGTTCTGCTTGAATAAAATTTTAAGGATCAAACCTAACTACAGAACCATCTGATAACAACTGTTAGTTCTGGGCTAATATGCAGAGTTTTAGAACCAATTGTCATCCAAAGTTGCTCATATTGTGCACATTTCAAAATATAGTCATCCTAGGGACAGTAGAGGGCAACCCAGGTAAATATTAAAGTAAACTAAAAAGCAACATCTCAGAATTTGAAATGTGGCCTGGAGAATTGGGTGAAGTGCATGATACAGCAAGCACACTGAAAATTCTGTTGCTCAAAGCTAACATAATATTTTCCATTTGTTTAGGTTTTTAACATTCTGTAGCACTACTGCCTAGTATGGTAGACACTAGCTACATATACCTATTTAAATTTAAATTAAATGAAACTTAAAATTCAGCCTCTCAGTTGCACTAGCCTAGCCACATTTCATGTACTCAGTAGACACATGTGGTTAGAGGTTACCATATTAGATAGTAGAGAGAGAGAACATTGGCATCACTACAGAAAGTTCCAGTAGACAGCACTGTCGAAGTCTCAGTTTCCACATATATCTCTCAATTGAAGGGAATCAGAATATGCCATTTCCAAATATGTCTTTGGCATAAAGATTATTTTGCACTGAAAGCAAGTAAGAAAAAGCAGGCAGAGGAATACCTTTGTCTAAAAGCGGGAAATGAATTTCCCTTATGAAGATGTCTTCTTCTCTCATACCAGGATGGGATGGATAATCTTTATCACCAGAGATGGACATGATGCCAAGATGCATCTGCATAAACTAAACCTTACTGAATAACTCTTAACTTCCATTAGTTTCCCCATATATTTAACTTCCTACAATTTACCACCCTTAGAATCCAAAGCCTCCTTACCTTTGCCTTGTCACTTCTCCACAATTTATTGCCTTTTCTTAAAATGGTATATGAGCCCCCCTCCCCCCAAATCCTAACTGAACCTCTTCTTTGGGTCTTCATTTATTTAAAAAATTTAAAATATTAAGGAATATAATTTGTATGCCTTTTCTCCTGTTAGTCTTTCATCAGTCTAATTCACAGGCCCCTATCCTAGACGTGCAGAAGAAAAGATTTTTTTTTTCTCTCTTACACAATCTACCAAGAATAACTGAGAAATATGAACTAATCTAGCCCAGAGGCTGAACTCCTAAAGTTGATGGAGTCTGTGTGTTTCAGGTACAGAGAATATCCATGGCATGAAGTCACCTGGCTTCTAATCAGATGACATCACCTGGCCACCCTTCCAGGGGGTTTCTCTAATTTTATTTTGGAGAGAAAAATAAAAAATAAATACAATTTTTTATTTTGGAGAAAAACTTTAATTTCAAACATATATGAGAGCCATTTGTCTTATCATTTGGGATCTGCTCTACATAAATCCTAGATTATTGACAACCCTCAAGATTATTGTTCCTCTAGAGGACTTTAAAATAAGACATAGAAGTCACAAATCAAATAAATGGTAAAATATAAGGAAATGTATCACTAAATCAAATACATGTTTCTAGAACTGACAGAAATGTTAGATTTTCTAATCCAAATACTTGAATTTTTGGTGATGAAAACTCTACAACCCAAAAAGTTTAGGTGCTGCTTCCAGATTCTCAAAGTTATTGCTGGGGAATTAGAATTCTCATATCCAGATTCAACCTAGTGTTTTTTCTTCCAGGTTATGGTTATATAAAATATAATCATATTTTATATTGAAAATATGGGCCTTCTAAAGTCTTTGAGATTGGAGCTATCAAGAAGAGCCTATCACTTCCTTCCTTGGTGGTTGATACAGAAGAGTGCACATGCACACACATGCACACATCCACACACATACAGCTAGATATTTTACTTCCTCTGAGCCTAACTTCCTGAACAGAGATCAATAAGGTGAATTCCATAATCTTAGATTCAGTTCCATATGGTTTCTTTTGGCAATTGCAGGGAGAAGGATGGAGAAATATGCTCTTGAATTTTATGTAGGAGAAAATGAATAAGAATACTCAATACAGTACCATCTGCAAATGTGACAAACATAGGAAGTGCTCTAATCATTTGATATCTTGATAAAAATTTTGTTCCCTGGCCCCATTAAACATAAGAGGTGGTGGTGAAATTACTTGGTGAAGTTCAACATTAATCCATGGCCTCTCCCATAGTCATCACTGCGACTCTCCTGCTGATGCTGCAACAGCTGATTAAGAAGACAAGTGTTCTACCTAAAGCCAAGGAGGTCAATAACAGCAACACCATTCTAATTATTTTGTTTTTAAGAAAAATGTTGAATCATAGCAATCATTTAGAAAATAGATGATCATAACAACAGATACCTTTGTGCATCTGCATTTTAAATAAGCCCCCAGAAAAACTAAACCTACCCGAGCCTGACTGTTTTTTCTGGTCTGGAAATAAAACTTTGCTGATCCTGAAAATAAATTTTATTTTTCCTCTGGCTGTATCCTTTAATCATATTCCTCTTCATTAAAAAGATTAAAAATAATAGATGTCACAAGGAATAGTTCTCAAATTGAAGGACCCATTAACCAATGGGCATAAGCAGCTGCTCCCACTGAGGTAATTAGGAATGCAAATTAGTTGTCAGCATTATGTTACTTCTATTCTCTTCAAGCTTAATTGAAAATTTTTTCCAGCTTTAACTATTTTTCAGACTTTGTGGGTAAAAAACATATTTTCAGGTCTTTATAATATTATCCAATGTGTTATTTCACCTTCAGAACAATAAAAGATCTGAGTTCCAATTGACCTTTCTTGGATCTATTTCCTAGCCTGGTATGATGAGAACAGCAGTCTACAGGCTAAGAGCACGGGGGAGGACAGCATGGAAAGGTAGTGAAGGTCACCTCTCAACGTTGTCAGAGAGATAGGCCAAATATGTTTTATTTCAGAGGAGATGTAAAAGAAACAAAATGTGCGCATACATTTCAGACTGGTTATCTTTCCTTCCCTGTCATTTTGGCTTCAGAAGACAAATCATACTAATCCAATGAAGCAGAGCAGTGTCCAGTGAGCTCCATATACCCTCTCTTCTGTCCACCATACTACAAGATGGGTAATGCCCACTCTCATGCTTCACAACTTCAAAGCTGAGTAAGGAAGATTCAGAGTTTAATTTGTTTGACTATTCTTAGTTTACACATATCTTCTCCCTCCTCAAAATCTGAGGGGAGGGGCACACAAGAAAGAAATCATGTTCTGCATTCTGTGGGAAGGCAGACTCACAATATCACAAGAATCAGAAGTGGCTCCGAAGCTGGGGACCCTAGATGACCCACTGAAAATAAATATTTAAATGTTTGCATGTAAAATATTTAAGAGTAATGTAATACATTAATAAAATTAAAATTAATTCATACTGCTAATAAATAACCTAATGACTAATAAATAAAACAAAAATTCTGAATAAAAATTTATGAATTTTTACTGAATAAACTAAAATTTCAGGAGTTCTACTGGTAAAACATAAACGATCTGGTGGACACCACCTTAACCAAGTGATTGAAATTAGCGAAGTTACTGGCACCAAAAAATGGGGCAAACTGTCATTGCTTATATAGTTGATACCAAATAATTTCAAAATATCTGCTAGAATAAGTGAATTTAGCATGGTCAAAGGATTCAATGTCAAGATATAAAAATCAATTGTATTTCCATATATGATCAATACATTGAAAATTAAAAATAACATTTCTAATAGCATCAAAAGCATGATGTGTTGATCGAAATGTTCTAGATCATGAATGTGGTGATTACATGATTGTTTGTTAAAATTCATATAATTGTACACTTAAAATTAATTTTATTGCTATGTAAATTATACCTAAATAGAGTTAGCACCTACTACGTGCCATGTTCTGGATGATGAGCACATAGAACAAAATTAAGCTTTTCTTTTTTTAAATTAGTTAATTTATTTTTAATTCTTTAATGTCATCACATATTTGACCCCTTTTACCCCATCTACCTTCCCCCGCCCCCTAAAAATTAAGCTTTTCTATTTAAGATTTCTAGTCACGGTGTAAGTAGCTAAAATGGTAAAACGCACAGCCAGCCTATTGAGCAGCTTTCTGCCTCAATTATTTTATATAATGCCCCTTGCCCAAAAAAATGGAACGAAAAAAACCCAGACCCTAAATCATTAAGACGCCTCTTGATTCCCTAATCTGTCTTCTAGCAAAACTCCAGCAGACCAATCTGCTGCACAGGCCAGGTTGGGGATCAAGCCTGTCAATCATATGCGACCGTAAATGGCTCGTGGAGGTCAGCCTGTGGATGGAGAGATGCCAAAAGCCAGCCAGCTGTGAGTCGGAAGCCCAATTCCGGCAACAACGCTTAGGCTGACGGGATCCCGGAAGTCCACTCGATGGCTTTGGTTCCGGCGGCGGCGCGGGGGCGGCCGGGAACCCGGAAGTCCGCCGATGGCTGTAGGTCTCTCCTGGGTGGCAGCCCGGGCTTGCGGGCGAGGTAAGATCGATACCGGCTTTCTTGGGCATGGCCACTCTGGTGGGAGTCGTGGCTGCGGTCGCCGGCGCAGCCGTTGTCGCGCTGCTCTCGGCCGCGCTCGCGCTCTATGGGCAGCCGCTGGACACAGGTACCCGGCCGCGGGCCGTTTTTCCCGACGGAAGGCGCAGCGATGGGGCTGGGGTTGCGGGGCCTCGTGTGGTCTTCGCGGCAAGAGCGCGGCCACGGCGTCAGGCTGCTGGGGGCGGGGGCTCAGGCTTGGCCTAGCCGATGACAACGCGAACACAGCTGCGGACGACGCGAGCTGGGCGGCGCTGGCCAGGAGCTTTCAGGACAGTCTCGAGGCCGGACGTGGCGACAGTAATTGTTAAAGAGTTTTAACTTGGATTTTAGGCATGATAGGTCCAAATACTTTGAGGAGAATTTAAGAGTTCTTCAGCTTCTGCACCTCCATTACACCAGGAGCACAGGGGCTTCTGGGCAGAGACAGTATTGGTAGCTGTTTGTCTTAAACTCACACACTATAATTTGTTAGCAGAATTTCTCTTTGAGTTTGTGGTTTCATTATTAGACTGACTTCATAAACTTTTAGCAAAAAACAGGTATTCTCGAATTTAGATCACCGACTTTCCATCATAGCTTTAAGGTATATCAGTTAATTTAAAGATTGCTGTCAGGTGCTTCAAATTAGTTATGGTTCACATTAATTTAAAGCACGTTTGGCACAAAGAGACATTGGTATCACAGTAATTCTAATGGCAAGTAATTTTAGAAAACAGCCCAGGCTTAAGAAATCTGTAATTCTTCTGTCTTCCTTAGCCACACTTCTTCAGAACAAATAAGAACCAGACCTGTTTAACCTGTTCTTGCAGACTCAGAATTGTCATGAAGACAATTGCTTAATAGGATAAATTTTGCCACTTCTTGTCAAGGCCTTTTTTTATATTTCAGAACTTTGATGTTTATGTTTAAGTATTTTTGTGGATAAGTCCAAATGATGTATGTCATTATGCCAACTGAAACTGAGACTCATTGTACAGTGTAGGGGAATTTAATTGACCTTTCTATGTCCCTTTCACTAACAGATGTTCATCTTAGAGGAATGAGACAGAACACTGGTGAGCAGTGTGGACTTTACTTTGCATTCTTACAATTCCAGTTAAAAAGTGAAAATGCTGCAGTTCTCAAAAATGATTTGGCCTCCTCCGAAATGGTATCAGAAGGCATTTGAGAAGGATTTTGACTTTTCTTTTGGTTGGTGGGGTGAATATTTGGTTAAAGAAAAGTGATTTCTTTTACATTAAAATAGCATCATTTTTATAAAATGGTGTTTTCTGCCCAGGCTTATCCATTACTAACTTAGGCGTCTTCTCAGGTCTGTCTCTCAGGGCCTCAGTTTCCCTATTTGTAAGAGAAGGATAAACTGGTTCCTAATGAGAGTAAATCAAGATTCCTTAGTTCATCAAATATTTGTGTCAAATTCTGTGCCAGACTGTTTGAGGCACTTGAGGGTGGAAGTCCAACATGGAAAGATGTAGAGCGGAGCTCCCCTTAAGCCACAGGTGGGAGCTGTACCACATTCTGTGTAGACAGAAGGTGGTGGGGTGGTCTTAGGGATAGTTTGTGTGTGGCTAAGTGCTTAATATAAAGTGATGGTATGTAATAAACCCAAAACACTGTAAGGAACCTAGAACAAGAGTGACTGGTAAGTTTGGATTCTATCTTTACAATTTCTAGACTTTTTAAAAACAGCGGCCATATTTATTGTTCTGGGGAATTTGAAGGAGCGACCATTCTCTGATATTCTTGTATTGACCAGTCATGTTGTTAAGCTGGATATGTTCGAGTTTGAAACAAATGCATGGCAAGCATTTTCATGACTGCATAGATTGCTAATCAGCCGCCAGTGATACCGCCATTAAATCTGATTATAACAGCTTTGGCTGCTTTCATGCAGCTTGTTAAGGAGCACTGGGAAAGAGCATTTCACAGTAACTGTGCATGGCAAAGAGACAGTGTGCAGTCTGGGAATTTGAGGTGTGGACAGGCGTTTAGGAAGTTGAGACTTTTGGGGGAGGGGGAGAAGTGAGAGCGGGGTTGCCCTGCTAGCTCAGTTTTTCTGCAGCCTGGCTCTGAGTCAGGGCGGGAGGCAGTTCTGCAGACATGTCACTGGGGCAGAATTCTACTTATGAGGAAAGACGACTGGAGCCACAGGATCAGCCAGTTTTACTGATTGTTGCACAAGCCTAATTGTGCTTTTTTTTGGCCAAAGGTTTACAGTGATTCTCTCTTGAGTTTTAGTCCTTTGTTGGTTTGGAAGAAGGTGAAAGGTGTTTGGGTTGATGGTAATTAATATTCTCCTTACATTTTGGGGTCTACGCATCTGATATATCAGCTAAGGAGGCATTTACATCTACTCATTAAAGAAAATTACTTGAATAAGTTCATTGAATAAAAAGTAAAACTGTTAGAGAGAGTGTTATTAAAGGTAAAGCTGTTTTATCACGTGGAGCTGAGCCAGTTTCTGATCCTCACTTAAACTTGCGACCTATGTCTAGTTTTTCCAGCTGCCGAGATAACTGAAAGCATAAAAAATATTGGGTGCCTTATTTTCAAGAAAGACAAATTAAAATGAGCTATTTAGAGACAATGCAAAATGCCTTTGAACCCAATGTAAGATATATTCTATATTTAGAATACCATTTCTAGATTATTTAATTGGTATCTAATTGAGTGTTAGACATATGACTGGAAAATATGAATCTCAGACTTGAATATGGTATTGGAAGGTAACAAATGAGAAGATGCTTTTCCATTTTGAGAGAAGAGACCTAATAAATTTATAGAAACATCGAAATAAAATATAGTTTATTAATAATGCATTACAAATTTTTTTTCCTGAAAGATTAAGTAGACTTCCAAAGTGTCTGATACATTTCAAAAGGTAACTTGATATATACAAGATGTTTTAGTATTGTGTTGTAATTTCTGAACATCATTTGCTTACAGAAATAAAATAATAAAACCATTGGATAAAAATCTATATCATTCATGTCAACTTACAGTGTTTTGGTTAAAGGGCTATTTCATTTAAGTCTCTGTTCTTTATATATACCAATATTTGCCATTCTGAGTGATTTCATTTTCCTGTTTTTCAGCTTTGAAAAGAGCATTTTCACTACATAAAGTACATTCAATAAAAGATATGGAAAATACTTTTCAGTTGGTGAGAAATATCATACCTCCTCTAACCACCAAGAAACACAAAGGGCAAGATGGAAGAATAGGTATAATTGGAGGCTGCCAAGAGTAAGTGACTTGAAAAATGTTGGTATTTAAACAATCAATCTATATTATCTGTCTGTCTACATACCTGTCAGCCAGCCAGCCAGCCAGCCATCTAGTGGGACCCTAGTAATCATTTCCAAATATAGTCTGATATTATGACACTTGGTATTTTTCAGTGAACTTTTTTTTTTTTTCACCTCTTGCACCATTTATTTCAAATACAACCACACTGTAAGGCTGCAAGATGACGTATCTTGCACAAGGGTACTCTAGATAGAGGAGAAGCCTCTGTAAATAGTTATATATTTCCCCATTGAGGGTTTTTTTTTTTTTTAACTTTAGACAGAGTTAGCAAAGGAACCAGAGCTGGTTCACAAGATCTCAAATAGAAGATGGTTTCTCATTCCTTCTGTTTTTCTCCATCCTCACACTTAGTCACACACCTGGATCAACAGCCCAAGAGACATTTCTAAATAGACAATACTCATTTTTTAAAAATTGCTCTATGCAGCCATTGTCTAACTATAGCCACCGTTGATGGCCTGCATTCTTAAAACTCACTAATAGTTTCCTTCCTATTAATCTTTCTTGCTAAACTGTTGCTGAGATGAGAATTAATAAATAAAATGGGTTTGGGATTCAGTGCCCTTTGCTCTTATGTCTCATCTAAATTCAAGCCCTAGAAGAGAGAAAAGGGCAGGATAAAGTCATCAGTGAAGCAAAGACTGAAACTATTTCTGAAATAATGTAAAGCAGCTACAAAAGAAATAACCTGGAGAGCTAGGTGCTCTGAGTGGCAGGATGTGGGCCGGGAAATAAAACTGGCTGAGAAACAAGCAAGTCATGCCTTCCCTGCAGTCCTCTGGGGCCACTGTGGGTTGCAAGCTGCCTATGTGCTCTGTGGCATGGCTTCCAGTGAGAGATTTCCTTAGATCCGGGAAGGAGGAGCCATCTGGCAAATTAAATATTTGTCATGTTTAAATAGTTATTTCTCAAGCACATACTTCAGAGCTCCATGCTAGGCTCTGTTCTGTCCCTCCCAGTCCAGGAGCCTGTAATTATGCAGGCGAGTCTGGTCATTCCCATTCTATTTCTCTTTAGTGATTTGTTTTGGCTTATTCATTTTTTCATTTGTTTGTTTATTTTTGTTTTTAATTTTGGCAAGAATCAACTAAATTGATTTCCTAAAACTGTAGGGGGACATGGGCTTTGGTTTGAAAACCACGCTCTAGGGTGTGGCCCCAGTGAAGCGGTGCTGGGGTCAGAGAGTAAAGGTGAGAATGGCAGTCTGTGGCCTAGTTTGGAGCCATCTCCCTCAGCCTTCTTTTCAGCCAAGGCCCCTTACAGTTTTGTTCCTCAGCAAGCTTTTTGACCAAATAGGAGAAAACTCTAAAGGGCCCTGATTGAACTGTTTACTGGTGTGTGGTAATGTTAAGGTTTTGCCTGTAGTTCAGGGTTGATACTATTTTTTCTTATTTTATACTTTTCTGTATTGACCAGATTCATACCATACATACGTATGTATTACTTTTGTGATCAGAGTAAAAACACTCAGCATCCGTTTGGTTTACTTTGTCAATTTAAAGATATTCCTGAAGGTCATTTATGAAATTTGACAGATCTTAGCTTTTGTAAAGGCCTGTTCTCTCTTCCAGTTTTATATATTTTGCTGTTATGTTGTTTGACACATAAGATTAATAATTTGTCCATGTTTATAAATGATAACTTCCTGCATTTGACTTAAATTCAACCTTGGATAGTATTTCTGTTTCTGCTTACATTTTGTTTGCATTTATATGCTATCTCTTTGCCTAGCCCCATATTTTTAACGGTTTATCATGTAGTTAGGTATACTTATAAATAGTATATAACGATTTTGTTTCTTTACCCAATATGACAGAGACTGCTCTTTTTAATTAGGGAAATAAACTTGTTCACATTTAGAGTCTACCTGATGTACCTTCTAAGATTTGTTATGTTTACTCTTTATTTTACTTTGTGTTTCCGTGTTTATTTGTATAGACTTATTCTTTATAAGTGGGTAAGTGGATATATGGTAGTCATTGTACAGATAGGCCATAATTTAACCAATTCCCTATTGATAGGTAATTAGTTACCTCTGTTCTTTTCTTTTCAATTAATAATATTTCTATAGACTTCCCTTTGTGTATGTATATCCTTGTGTGAATTTTTATTGGAGCAGAGTACATAGACATTTTAAATGTTGATGAACATTGCTAATTGTTCTTCCCCACAAATCGCACTAGTGTGCGCTGCCACCAGCAAGCACCTGTTCACCTCACACTCTGTGGCTATTGGCAGCCTTTGCTCATGGAGCAGTCAAGACAAGCAGTTTTCTGTTGTTTCAGCATATTTCTTAATGAGGTTTGTGTTCACGTTGTGGATGTGTGTGTGTCGCATGTCCTGTCCTTTGGCGTTTCCAGCATGTCGGTAGTCCTCTGCAGGAGAGTGCTGTGTGTGTAGAGTGTGCTCTGCAGTTCCCTGGTTTGTTTTTCCTGGACTAGCAAAACTCTTCATTGCCTGGAATTGACATAAAAGTTACAGACACCATCTGATGGCAAGTTCAAGATTTTTCTTCTGTGCTTGAAGCGTCCTTAAAAGTAGAGTTACAGACATTCCAGAACAACAGGATGCAAGCCAGAAGAAGGTGTGAGAGTCTCTTCTTGTTTGGCCTGGGTGTCCTGTGTGGCCTCACATGGAGATGACCATTGCCTCTGCTTACGGTTGCTCTCGGGAACTGGTCCTGCCCCTTGGGCACTGTCCAGTGCCGGTTGCTCTGTCCTGTGATCACCTCAAGCACACTCTCTCAGCAGACACCTTTGGTAAACTCTCATCGTTGTCTTAAATCTTCAGTTTTTGGGTTTTTTCTCAAACATACATCCCCTCCCATCTTCCTTGCTAACAAAACCTCAGTTCTGTTCAAGTTTCCTTGCTAACAAAACCTCAGTTCTGTTCAAGTGTTGTATTTTCTCTTACTTGCAGCTATGTGCATTTCTGATAAATGAAGTCATTTTTATATCTATGTTTATATTAATCTAGAGAGAAGTGTCTTTGTAATATTAAGTCATCTCATCAAGTGTACATCTAATATATTCTTTAATATGTTTTAAAAATTTCCTCCCAGAGTCGTCATGTGTTTTATAAAGTTAATTCCTAGATGTTTTATGGTTTTTGCTGATATTGTAGATGCTATTTTTGTCTTTTTTTTTTGGTTGATAGAAATCTGACAACCTTACTGAACTATTTTATACTAGATTAAGTCCTTAACAGTTTTATTGTGGTCTAGTTGATTATAATAAATTATAAATATTTGAAATATACAATTTGATAAGTTTGACATATGTATGGACTCCTAAAACCATCACCTCAAGCCTTCAGTTTGAACATACCCATTACAGGGTGACTGCACTCATGGGAGCCAGAATTTGCTTCTCCTGATATAGTACAAAGGTCTTGGGTAAAAGACTGACTTTTCTGGTTCTGATCCATGTTTATTGAACATTTACTGAGCACCTACTAGAGGTTGGGCCCTCTGCTGGGTGCTTCATCTTAATATAGTTTATTGATAAACCTGGTGTGCTTGCCTCATTCTCAGAAGTTTTTGACTGTAAATATCTTCTTTTTAGGTATACTGGAGCTCCCTATTTTGCAGCAATCTCGGCTCTCAAAGTGGTATGTTTGTTTATAGCTTGTTTATTAGATTCTTCTGGTAAAGAGTTGGATTATTTAAATATGATTAAAGGAAATGTTTTCTGACATAAGTCTAAATAACATCTTGTAATCATGGATAGGAGAAACACCTTTAAATATATCCTGACCTCTTATGCAGTGTCAAAATAACTTGAAACTCATTTTTTTAAACCAAAGTTTTATTAGACTTTACTTCACCAAAATGATCTGGGATGCCTTTTCAGTCCTAGCTTAAGCAGTTGACATCTTTTGACCATGGCAGTTGCCCTTGCCTTTTGAGCAAGTCCTAACTGCCTAGTCGGCACAGTTAACATGAAGTGTGCTCAGCCTCATGGCCTCACTGCTTCCTGTGAACCTCATAGGTGAGGCAGCCTGAGCTCGTCTGGGTTTCTTAGGTGGCAATGAAAGTCTGCCATTACTTCCAGACCTTTTCTTAGGTTATACCTTCTCCTTCTAAGCTTCTTAGCTGTAGTTTAACTGCTGCAGTTGGATGTTTTACAGATAGTGCTGTATGATGTGAATGGTTGAACACCACGTGTCTTGTGGTGAGTGGCTCTTGCTGAAACCACTTTGGGTGTCTTTTGAGCAAGTCCCACATTAAGTCAGCCTCTTGTGCTCGTTTCTCAGGGTGCAGATTTATCCCACGTGTTCTGTACCCGTGAGGCCGCACCTGTGATCAAGTCGTACAGCCCGGAGCTGATTGTTCACCCGGTTCTGTGAGTGGGGCCCACGTGGGGTTCTTTGTCGCACCTCTCCTGGGTCATGTGCTGTCTGTACACTGACTCTAAGAGCCTCTGTTGTTAAGTAGCTGCTGTACTGAAAGTTGGTAGGTAAATGGTTTCAGAAAAAATGAGAAAATTATAATGAACCCATTGTGGTTAAAAGATGGCAAACAAACAGCCATATGCAACAGCATGGAATGAGATTTGAGCACCAGGATGATGTGCCCAGGGCTGACCCCTGTGGCCTGTCAGAAATGGCTAGAGGTTCCTAGGTCCACGAGAGGTCTGTGGGCCTGCCTGTGGACAGTGTATGAAAGGCAAGAATGAGGGGCCTATTAGGCAGTAACAAACTATTCACTAACTCAGCAAATGCTTGCATGCCAGGCCCGTCCTGGGTTCCACAGGGACAGCATCAAACCAAGCAGACAAAAACACCTGTCCCATGCTGCTTCCTTTCTAGGGCAGCCCTGTGCCCTAGAACTTTCCTCAGTGATGAAAATATTCTCCCTCCAGCACTGTGGCTGCTGACCACATGTGGCTCCTGAGCCCTTAAAATATGGCCAGTGGTACTCAGGAACTAAGTTTTTCCTTTAATTAAATCTAAAAGCTATGTGTGGTGAGTCTACTGTTTTGGGCACCATAGCTCTGGAGTTAGACAAGATAACAGGATAATAAGGACCACGGGGAGAATGGAAGCACGGGAGGGAACAGGGAATGGCTGTGCATGCGGTGCATGTGCCATATATGCAGTTTTTAATAGGGCGATCATGAGCAGTGGCACAGAGTGGCACTCAAGTAAAAGCTTGAAGATGGTAAGGGAGCAAGTTCTGTAGAATGTGGGGTAGCGGGGGCAGCTTCCATACATGGGGAAGAGCTGGTGCAAGACCTCAAGCTACAGGTGTGTCGGGGAGCACTCAGGGGTCTTCAGAGTCGGTTTGGGTGACCAGAATGGTTCAGAGTCAAGCTTCGCAGGTTGTGAGGATTATTGCAAGGTTTTTGGCTTTCACATAAATGAGAAGGAGGCTGCTGGATCATTCGAGCAGGGGAAGGATAGGCTTCAGTTTGTGTTTTAAAAGGCACATCTGGCTGGCGTGTTGAGAATAACCTCTTGGGGCCCAGGGTGGAAGCAGAAGTTCTATTAGTCATAGGTTCGTGATGGGGTAGAAACTGGACAGTGGGTCAGGGTCTGGGTACATTTGCAAAATACAGTTCCAGGCTCTGCTGACTGGTTGGATATGGGATACAAGAAAAGAAGAGAGTCATGAATGCCACCCAGGATTTGGGCTAAATGAGTTGTCATTTAATGAGGCTGGAAAACTGGTGGGGAGCAGGTTTGGGTGGGGGTGATGATTAGGAGTTGGGTTGTGGACATGTTTTTAGTTGCCTGTTAGACATCCAAGCAGACATGGCTGATAAGCATCAACTAGGAGTGGGGCGGTCAGGGAAGGTGTAAATCTGGGAGTTGTTGACATGTGGACAGTGTTTACGGCCAAGAGACAAAGACGGGGGCACACAGGAATGTGTGTAGGCAGAGAGTACCCGTTTGGGAGCAGACAGGTGGGGAGGTAAAAAAAGGCCTAGAAGGGTATTCTGGAGTCGAGTGAAGAACTGTTTGCAGACTGTTGTGGAAGGGCCCTGTGTCCCTGTAGTCAAAGATGAGGACTAAGAATGGATGGTTGGATCTCACAGTATGGGGTCATTGGTGACCTCGACAGGGGCGACTTATGGGGTCAAAGGGGGCAAAGTCTTACAGAGTGGGTTCTAAGAGTCTAAGAAACAAGATGATGAACAGAAGGATATTGTGGGGGGAAAAAACAAAATCCTATGCAGCTGTCAGATCTTGTTGTAAAGGAGGGGACTCAGGGTTTTAAAGAGAGCAATCACACGAGTCTTTTAGATGACTTCCCCAGTGTGTCTGATATATGGGGCAGTCTGTGAATGTAAAGACTACATTGTTACCTGTACTCCTCCTGTATGATGGAAACAAACTGGCAAAGGTAATTTTGAAATTAGCCATAATGTCGTATTCTAATGGGTTTAAAATTTTTCTCCCATGAGTCTTGTTTAAAAAAAGAGAGAAAAATGTATGTTTAAAGCTATATGCCCTGCATTATTGACTCTATTTCTGATATGAAGGAAGTTCTATTTTAACTCAGCTTTGAAGAGACCCATATCTTCTGCTTGCTTACCTTCGCAGATTTTACAAAACCATATGGACCATTTGAGTACATTGCTAGGGCCCTTCCCAGAGTTTTGGAAAGAGCCCAGCAAGTGAGGGGTTCTGATCATCGATGCTTGAGTTTCATCACAGTGGATATGCCTCTGCTTCTCTCATATCATTCCCTTATTCGTACTCTTTTCAGCCAGACTAGTCTTCTCCATTTCCTGTACGTGAGCACTTTCTCACCTTATTTCCTGCTCATGCCACTCCTTCCTTCATCTTGTCTGCTTGTTCCCAGAGAGTATGGCTTCCCTGTCAAGCCTCTTAAGTGGAGGTGTCTTTTCCTCATTGCTCCTCCCAGACCACTGCCCCTCTCTCATTCCTAAAACCTCCAACTCCTTCGAACTCACACCATCAGACTCTGCTACCCACCGCCCCTCCTTGCAGCAGCTATCTCAGATCCCTGGATCATGATCCCTGGATCATTCTTTGAATATTTAATGTCTGGCCCAATGTCTCTCCACCATTGCTCTCATAACTCTAATGTGTATGCGTAACAGCTTTATTGAGATTTAACTTACTATAAAAATCACTCATTTTAATTGTATAATGATTTTTAGTGTATTTACCAAGTCGTTACCATCACCACAATTTAATTTTAGAACACTTCCATCATTCCAAAAAGAAAATCCCTGCGCGTTACCACCCCTAGCTCGAGGCATCTCTAATCTTTGTTTCTATAGATTTGCCTTTTCTGAGCATTTCATATAAATGGAATCATACAATATGTAGTCTTTCATGTCTGCTTTCTTTCTCTTAACAATGTGTTTGAGCTTCATCATGTTGTAGTGTATACCCATACTGCTCTTTTTTAAAAAAATAAAAATAAATTTATACCCTCTTCACTCATTTCTCCCATTTTCATCCCTCCTTCCCTTTCCTTGTGTCCAGCAACCACAAATCTGTTCTCTGTATTAATGAGCTTGTGCCGCTTGTTTTAAGGTTCCACATATAAGAGACAGGTCATAGATACTTGTCTTTCACTGTCTGACTTATTTCACTTAGTGTAATGCCCTGCAGGGCATTTAAATGTAGACAGCTAGACATCTGTGGTGTGGCATTAAAAGATGAATCAGTCTCTGGAGGGCACTAAGGAGACCTGCTGGCTGAGTGCAGGGCAGGGTCCTGGCTTAGATCCTAGAACAGAAAAAAGGGCGTTGGGGGAAAAACAGGGAAAATCTAGAAAAGTCTATAGTTTCATTAATAAACAAATGAAATTTTAAGTAAACTGTTCTGCCTTTCTTTTCCTTATTGAGTGACAGCCCCGATGCCGTTCATGAAGTGGAGAAGTGGTTGTCCCGACTGCACGCCCTGGTTGTAGGACCTGGTTTAGGGAGAGAAGAGGCTCTTCTTGAAAACGTCAAGGTAATATACAGAATTACTAAACAGCCTCCCCTGTTGACTCAATTCTTAGATCTTGGGAAGTCAGAACAAATATTTTTCTTGACTTTTTGTTATTTAGTGTTCTGCGTGCCTTTTCATGGAATAATTAAGATAGGTAAATTTGGCTTGAGAATAAGAGAAGGAACTAGGCACAAAGATGGTAATGAACCTAAAACCAGACTGAAAGAGTCTCCTTTTTACTCTTGGGGTACTGGCTTTTTTCACACTGTAGCAGGAGGATGTCACTGTAGAATCACTCGGATGTTTCATGGTGTCACCCTGACGTTTATGTGTTTTACACCCAACGTGTTGGGAAGTCCCAGTGTCCTGACCGAGCAGTGTCAGCAGTGGACAGGGTCTGGGGTCAGGCTCAAGTTCTCCCAGCACAATCTCCTTCCAGCCAAGGACCCTGGCAGCTTGCTCAGCCTCCTGGGCCTTGTGCATTCCATGGAAGGGGGTGATTGTACCCCTAGAGGTTACTAAGAGACACATTTTATAAAATGCTTTTGCACAATGCCTAGTTAGGCAGAGTAAAGATACAGCAGGGACAGAGTCACTGTCACAGATGACCTGGGTGAGAAAGGATATTTTTGAGAGTTATTCTAACAACTACTTTTCCTGTAAGTCGAACGTTTAGGTAAAAACACAAAAGGTGCTCTGTTCTAACTTTGTGTTATTAGCTGGGTCCTCTTGAAAGCTCAGTCTGATTTCTTAACCTGATGCGTTTCCAACCTTCTTGATGTTCTCATTGGTCTAGAAAACACTGGGCCTTGAGCCCCACAGGCTAGTTGATTTGCAGCTTCGACCTCTGTTCCCTGCCGTCCTTTTCAGATGAAACCAGCACATGCACAGCCTAGCCAGGCACTCAGCGAAACGGAATGGGCATAAACCTAGTTCACCTTCACATGCAGTGTACGTTCATTTACTTTCTCATTTATTGTTTATGCTATTCTTTATTACTGAAAATTCATTTTATGGTTGCCTTAATCTAAAAAGATGAAATCTAAAAGATAAAAATAATTTATCCTCGAAAAATTGAAATAGAAATAAATACCAGCCAGAATCAGAGAAAATAAAGATGCCGGACAGCATACCAGCCCATGTTCTGTGTGTTCTCTTTGCTTGTCACGCTGACACTAGCAGGTTGTTACTCTTCAAGTGGACACATCTCGGGTTCTGTCCCTTGCAATTTTTCTGACTCCCCGCCAGGCTCTTCTCAGTGCTCCCGCGATGCCTGCCCAGCTCTAGCCCTGGATAAGAGGGTGTGGTGCGCCCTATGTGAGATGGTGCTGTGTAGCCTCAGGGGGCCAAGAGTAAGCTCCAAATCAGGGAATGTGTCTGACACCCTCAGACGCTTACTAAAGGGTTCGAGGTTATACTAAACATGATTTACCATCCTCATCGTCATTAACTAAGAGCGGCTTTTTTTGGCTCAGCTTTTGCCTTTTGAATTGAATTAACAATTCAAGTGAAAAGGTGTAAGGAGCCCTGTGTGTTAGTTGTACTTTCTTAGCAATCTGATTGGTAAGGAACATTTTAAAAAGGTAGGAAATGTGTTTGCTTTATCAGAATTTAGTGGGAACATGGATTTGAAAGATACCTGTATGACAGATCTTTCAATTCCAGCCTTTGAGGTGAAAGTTGGGGTTTGAAATTTCACTTTTCTCAAACACCTGAATAATCATTGAGGATAAACAGCTATGACAAGTGACAGGTGACTGGAGTGAATGGGATTGAGCAATAAATTTGTTTTTGACTTTAAAATTGATGGTAGGTCCATTTATTACCTCTTTCAAAAGGGTTGGTTAAAACATATGTATCGTCTGGAGTACATTATGCTAAGGGAAATAAGCCAGATGCAGACAGACAAATAGTGCATGATCTCACTTCCGTGTAGAATTAAAATAATCGAACTCATAGAAGACAAGAGACGGGTGGCAGCCAGGGGCTGGGGTTCAGGGAGATGGGAAGGTGTTGGTCAAGGGGTACAAACTTTAGTGAGGCAGGATGAATAAGTTCTGGGGATCTGACGTACAGTGCGGGGACTAGAGTTAACAGTGCTGTATTGTGTATTGAAATTTGCTAAGAGGCAGGTGGATCTTAAGTGTTCTCACCTGTGTGAGATGATATTTTAGCTTGATTGTGGTCATTATTTTACTATATATCAAAACATCAGGTTGTACACTTTAAATATATACAATTTTTTTTGTCAGTTTTACTTCAGTAAAGCTAGAAAAAAACAAACATGTATCCTGAGTTGTGCCTGAGAGGAATTAGAGAATGCCTGCCACATACTTCTCTTCTATGTCTCATACTACTTTGCATTTCATAGTTTTATACTTAATGAAATGTAATGAAATTTAATGAAGATTCTGAAAACAAAGAAAAGAAGCCCACTGCCTAGAACTGGAAGCCAGCCGAAGTCTGTGGGGTGCTGGACTGTTGAGTGATTCTGAACAGAATGCCCTGTGCTTCACTGGGCTCTGGAATGAGAAGCTGTGATAATAGACCCCGGGGTCGGAGGGGCAGCTATTCACTCCTATCACAAAGAGCTCGCCTAGAGAACAGGAGAGATTAATGAGCCAGCAGTTGTGCATTCAGGATAAATAATCTGAGAGGCAAATACAATTTAACAGTAGCTCTAGATGACACATTGTGCAAATTAGAGGATTTAATTTAGGATGGGATTCTCCTGGTTCTAAGCCACCTGGAATTAGCATGGGGCATGCAAGTTTGTCAGGCAACACCACTCAGATCTTTGAAAATCTTAACCTCTTGCTGAAAAGTAGAAGTTAATCATGGTCAAAGAGTGTTAGACCCTTCAGTTTCTCCAAGCGGAAGACCTCTCCTTGGAACCTCTGTGTGAACAATGGATCAGCGGTGCCTTTGCATTCAGAGTTAGTGGTGGTTGGCACAGTAGGGGCTGAGCCCACGCCAGTCATGGGTGGTCTGGCAGTGCTTCTTAGATGGATGGTTTATAAAGAGAGGTAAATGAGGGTTCCTGTCAGCATGGAGCCAGAGTAGTGGTCCCCCAAGGAGCCTTGTGATAATAGAATTCTTGACCTTTTGTTTAATTGCCAGTAAACCACTGGCCACATTGGTCATGACAGTGGAACTCACAACACACTCCCTGGTCCCCTCTTTAAACCTCATCTTTTAATGCCCTGTTTTCATTGAAACATCGTGGTGATGTTTCTTATGTTGTTTAGAGATTTACACATGTTGCTGGTATAGATAGGTTTGATTTCTCGTGCTTCCTTGATAGAGGCTCTTAGGCTGGCTGTAGGCTGACCACTATCTGCTGGTGTAACCACACTGTGAAGGCAGCACGTGCTGTGGTCTGAATGTTTATGTCCCCCAAATTCACGTGTTGAAATCCTAACCCCCAAAGGTGACATATTAGTAAGGCTTTGGAAGTGATTAGGTCATGAGGTTGGAGCTCCTATGATGGGATTCATGCCCTTATAAAAGAGACCTCAGCTCCCTTGTTCCTTCTGCCATGTGAAGACACAGTGAGAAGTCTGTGACCAGGAAGAGACCCACACTTGACACCATTAGCAGCCCGAATGGACTAAGACAGCATGGTGGGACTACAGTTTGGTTCAAGAAGCCACTCGTTAGGGTGTTTTCTGAAAAAAACTTGAAATGAATGTGTACTCCCTGTTGACAGCTGTGATCGACAGGCCCCATGCTTGTGGCTTGCCTACTTGTCCCTCCTGATGTGAGATTCTTGCCAGGCCCTGGCACTGCCCCGACCGCCCTGTCCTGGCAGTACGGCGTCCTGTGCTTGTCCACCTGAGCCATGTCCAGATGTGTTCAACTGTGAGGAGTTCCTACACTGGGCATTTGGCTCTTCACCGTGAACCAGGGACTCTGGTATTCCTGAGTACTTGCCACACAGACAGTTCAGTCCTCAACGGAGGGTTTAATGCACAGCAAATTTATGATCAGTAATTAGAAATGAACTTATTTTTGAACAGCTTAAATGAAAGAGAAATGTGCTTGGATTTTATCAGAATTTCCTCATAAGCGTTTTTTCTCCCTTGGGACAAAAAACTTGTGCTGGGGTCTCACAGAACACTGGCCTGGGGCAGTTATTAGCTGGGGGACCCAAAACAGGCTGTACAGCTTCATTGACCTTGGGTTTTCTCATCTGCTCTGTTTTCATTATCTGTTTCATATTCTACTTGTGGATTACTGAGTTTAGTAGACTCTGTGAATTAAATACTAACATATTGTGTTTTGTGTGCCGGGCACTTTTATGAGTACTTTATGTTAGTAAACTTCATTTAGTTCTCACAACTTCCTAAGTCAGTATTAGCATCATTTCCATTTTATAAATGTGGAAACTGATACAGAGAGATGATGTCCGGTGCAGATATCAGATGCTTATAGTCATCCAGGTAGGGCTCGTGGTATTCATGTCCAGAACATCCAGTGCCAGAATTGGTACTCTCTATACGTAAGCCCTGAGAAGCAAATGAGATTATGTAAAAGCATCTTCAGGCGGCTGTGTAGGTAAGTAACAGCATTTAATTCTACTCTTGTGTGCCCTGCGCTGTATGTGGCACTGGGGACACAAAATCCCAGTGGCGGGAGGGGTATAATAAAGTATTGGCTGGTCTTTGTCCCCTGTTCCTAGGAAAGAGTCTTTGAACCTTTGGAATTTTTTCAACAGGTAGAAATGGCTTTTATTCAAGATGGGCCTCTTGGACCTCACCTGAGTTTATGCTAAAGATTTGACTGAGGATGGAGTCCTTTACACCAGGAACTTTGAGATTAGAGTTGTTGCCACCTCCAAGGAAGGGAGTGGAGGGAAGGGGAGGGGGCTGCACGTTGAGTTCAGTCACATGGGCAGTAATTCAGTCACACGAGCATAATTTTAGAGACCCCAGTAAACTCAGGAGAGCTTCCAGGGTGGCGCGCGCACAGATGTGCCCAGAGGGGGATGTGTGTGTCCTGACTGACCAGGAAAGGGCCCAGAGCAACTTGTGGGACCCTCCCAGACTTGCCCCTTGTCTCTCTCCATCTGGCTGCTCCTAATTTATGTCCTTTATAATAAACTGTAATTGAAGGTATAGTGCTTTCCTTGAGTTCTCAGAGTCATTCTAGCTAATTATCGGACTTGAATGGGTGATGGAAACCCCTGAGTTTCTGCCTGGTGTTTGAAGGGTGGGCAGTCTTGTGGGGTCTGTGCCCTTCACCTGCGAAATTGACTATCGGGTGGTTAGGGTCAGAATTGCACTGCAGCAAATATCTGGGAAAATAGCACAGAAGTGTGGTACTGAGATACCCTCTTTGAGCAGTCTCTTAGGATGTGTACTCCTACTAAACCTGTTCAGACCCTTTGTTAGTCCCACTTCAGGGACTATATTTCAAGGGGAAATATCTTACTACAAGGAGTGACATCCTAATTTGTAAAAACTGATTACAGCAACATAAAAACTTAGTCTGATACTAGAGGGTACAGGCGTGAATTTAAGGTGAAAACAGCTCGTGAAAAGTTCTCTACTTCAGTTCTTTTGCCGCTGAATTTAAATGCATAATAAAACAACTTAGTATGTTTATTTGAAAAAAAAAAAAAAACATTTTGCAGTGTACAAGCTAGAAGGTGGGAAGTGAGGGTGTGCCTCACTGCACTTCCCAGCCCAGTCTCCAGAGTTCACACTTCTATTCATTCTTCTGGACTTTCCTCTCTCTGTATATAAAATAGCAATTGCGGTCATGAGAATTGCTAACATTTCTTGAGCGAGCATTTCCTATGTTCCAGCTAATACAAAGCAGTGCATTATGCTTTCTTATCAGCTTCTTGCTCAGTGCCTGCTACATAGCAGACGTTTATTGGATGTTTTCTGAATGAATTCATTATCTAGTATAATTCTGAAAATAACCCTATTAGATAAATTTTTATTCTTATCCTCATTTTTTTGATGAGGAAATTGAATCCTAGAGAAATTAAATTACATTCTTGAGATGGTCATGTAGCAAGTAAATTGCTGTTTAACTTTTTTGAGATGAGATTTTTACATACCGTAGAATTCAATACCCATTTAAACAGTACAATTCAATTCAGTGATTTCTAATATATTCATAGAGTTGTGCGACCATCACCATGATCAATTTTAGGACATTTTTATCACCCCCAGAAAGAAACCCCATACCCACCAGCACTTGCACCCTGTTCCTCTCAACCTCCCCGGGCCCTGGCAACCACTGATCTGCTTGCTGTCTCTATGGATTTGCCAATTCTGGATCTCTCATGGAAATGGAGTCATACACTCTGTGGCATTTTGTGACTTGCTTTATTCACTCAGCATAATTTCAGGGTTCATCCATGTTGCAGTGTGTCAGTACTTCACTCTTTTTTATTGCTGTTTAGTATTCCGTTGTGTGGGTAGACTACATTTTGTTCATCCATTCACGAGTTCATGGACATTTGGGTGGTTTCTACTTGGGGGCTATTACAAATAATGCTGCTGCGAACATTAGTTTACAGGTTTTTGTGATAAGTTTCACATTTTTGAGGAGCTGCCAGTGTTTTCCCTAGCAGCAACACCATTTTCTATTCCTGTCAGCAATGTGTGAGGGTTCTGATTTCTCCACATCCTCTCTAACATGTTATTGTCCATCTTTTTAATTATAGCCATCCCAGTAGGTGTGAAGTGGTATCTTGAAGTGTGTGTGTGCATACACACACTTTGTGGTTTTGGTTTGCATTTCTTTGATGGCAATGATGTTGAATATTTTTTCATGTGCTTACTGACCATTTGTAGCTCTTTGAAATATCTATTCATATCCCTTCCTCAGTGAAAAATAAATTGCTTGCCTTTATTATTGAGTTTTAAAAATCTTCGTATATTCTAAATACAAGTCCTTTATCAGAGATAGTATTACAGATATTTTCTCACTCGGTGGGTTGTCTTTTCATTTCCTTGATGGTAGTTTGTAGCACAAATTTTTAATTTTGATAAAGTCCAGTTTATTTTTTCTTTTGTCACTTATGTTTTGGTGTCTTATCTGGGTTTTTTTTTTTTTTTGCTTTTTTTGTTTTTTTTGCTTGACCCAAGAATTACTGAAATTTTTTAAGAGCTTGCTTGTTTTAACTCATGTTTAGATCTGTGGTCCGTTTTGAGTTAATTTTTGTGTATAGTGTAAGGAAGGGGCCCAGTTTCATTCCTTTGCAAGTAGATATCCAGTTGTTCCAGCAACATTCATTGAAAAGACTTTTTCCTCCAGTGAATTGTCTGGATAGCCTTGTTGAAAATCAGTTGACATAAAATAAGGGTTCTTATTTCTGTCCCATCAGCCTATGTAGCTGTCCTGTGCCAGTACCACACTGTCTTCATTACAGTGGCTGTGCATTAAGTTTTGAAATGGTAAAATGTGGAGCCCTTGAACTTTTTTCAAGATTGTTTTGGCTCTTCTGGGTCCTGTGCATTTCCATGTGAGTTATTTAATTTTTATATATTATACTTTTTATAGTATATTTGTTATATATTGGTTTTTATATTTAATATTTTTTTTTTAGTAGCTACATCATACTATGCTATAATGTATTTAGTTCATTTAGGCTGTTTACAGCTTTTTCTATTCATGTTGTCTTGAACATTTCTGTATACATATTTGTTCCATTTCTTTTGGGTATTTAGGAAAAATTTCCACAAGTTCTGTTGCCGATTCAAAGAGCTATAGCAGTTTGCTGTTCCACCAACAGGCTGTCCTTGTCAGGACTCTGCTCTGGGGAGCTGTCTTTCCTGCTCACTTCTGCCTGGTCCCTTATGTGGGAATGCTTGTTTAATTTTAGCTCTGTCTGGTTCCTCCACAACCATCCTCCAGCCTTTTCTGATCTGGATGTGGCTTGATCATTCCTGTGTCATTTTCGTAGGTTAGATTATTAACTAGATGGTAGATGCAGCTGCATTTGTGGAGAATGGTGAGCCGTTTTGTTATTGTGTTTTCGTGGCCCTCACTGCTGCTAACGTGAGCCATCCTTACAAATGCAATAAACATTGACAGGAAGCACAGTGTGCTTCATACAAATCCTCTGAGTGATGGAAGCAGATCACTCCTTAAATGGGTGACTGATGCATGGTTTTGTGTGGTGCTCTTAACTGTGCCAGTAGACCTGAGTGTTGGCATGTTTGTGATGTCATGTTATTCAACTACCACCCATCGTGTTGACTCACATTTCAGTGTTTGAATATTCACTTTACACTGTTTTTGTAAGAACTTTTTAATAGGAAAAATACAAAGAGATGAAGATGTTGGTATTGTGGCCAACAACACTGCACCATGAAACCAGAGATTCAAAAGTCTGAATTAGCAAAAGCCAGTCAGTTTTAACAATAAAGGCTAGCAGAATATTTTCATTGTTAAAGAAGGAAATAAGCTTCCATGAAGCTCCCATACCCGGATCCTCACTTGAAGGGGCCTTTGGAAACACTCCCAAAGCTCCGACCAGTGTCAGCAAAGTATGACAGACTGTCAGGGCAGCTCATGCTTTGTGGAGTTTCACATTTCATTTTCAGAATGATAACTTTTAATTAAATATGTGTGGACTTATATCTTTCAATGTTTTAAGATATTTCTACTTATATCTTTAGTCTCAATGTTTTCTGTTATCAGGTAGAGATCATTTTTATATGCTATTGCAATATATAATCTTGTACTGGTTCATAATAAGAAGCAACCATATGTTGATCGTATATAATTTTTTTTAGTAAAAATCCTCTGAAACTTTTAGTATAACCTTTTCAGAGTTGTTTTTTATCGTCACTCATTTATAGCAAAGTGTTATGAAAAACACATAAAAGCTGATGATTTAGGGGAATTCCCAAGGATTTATATCTGTTGGAAATTTGTAGACACTGGCATGGAGGTCACCCTTCGTGGGCTAGCCTGGGACCCAGCGCTGTGCATAATGTCACCCATGAGCTTATGTTTTCAGAGTTCCCTGTGCCCTGCCTTAACAAGGGGACTGTTGGTTCATTTGGGTCTTTTCTGTTTTATGCACTTTATTCTATTTGTTGATGAGTTGGTGGTGAAATTTATCAAGGAATTGCTTGGTTAATTCCTCTGAGAGGTAACGGGCTTTTCCTTTTCTTGCAGGGCATTTTAGAAGTGTCAAAGGCCAGAGGTATCCCCCTCATCATTGACGCAGTGAGTGTGGCCTCTCCATTCTTGTACCCTCCTCACAGCCAGGCCCCCAAGGCCAAGCTGTAAACAGGAGCCCTTGTTCTGTGCAGGATGGGCTGTGGCTGATAGCTCAGCAGCCAACCCTCATTCAAGGCTACCGGAAGGCCGTTCTCACTCCCAACCACATGGAGTTTGGCAGACTCTCTGAAGCTGTGGTGAGTTTGTTGACCACCCTAAAGACAGTGTGCAAGCCTTCCTCATCTTGAGGGGTGAAGGACACGCTGTGCAGTTCTGCTCCCACTAGTCCCTGCAGGTGCTTCTGCAGGGACAGACATGTAGATGTCATGAGGATGCATGCATTTCTACAGTGCACATTTTCACATAATAGTGGTTTTGTGTTTTTGGTGTTGCATGTGTTGGGGCATCTTCTAATCGGTGCATCTTTGATTGGATGAAAGGCAGAATGGTGGGCTCTGGGGTCAGCCAGCCTCTCACAATCTGTACTCGGTGTGGATCACTCTATCTCTGTCCTCCGTCACCTCGTCTGTGAAATGTAGATAATGATGGCATCTGCCTCATAGGGTCTGTGAGGATGAAATGAAATATATGTAAATCCGTGAGACCTTACATATCTTATGCCCCACAGACGTTATCATTCATAGTTGAATCACTTCTGTAAACTTTCAAAATCCCAGCCATGATGAATGTTCTTTACCTTTGGTCTGACAGGGTAGGGGACGGGCACCAGAACAGAGTTTCTGCCTCAAGACCCAGTGTTGGCATCTACCTGGAGGACTTGCTGCCCATGGTATTGTGGGTCTCCTCCTACCTGGTGGATGAAATGCACATCTCTGTTGGGGGGCCAGAGCTCAGCCATTATAAAGTGCCTGGTGGGTCAGGGATTCCCTTCGATGTGAGAGTCTGAGGATCAGGAGAGATGAGGCAGGGCATTCATTGTATCTACTTTTGTGGGATCCTTTCACATATCTCATGACCGCCATGGTATCCTACTGCATAGCTGAAAGACCCCGTGGACAACGGTGATCGCCGTGGAGCTGTGCTGAGACTCAGCCAGGCTCTGGGGAATGTGACCGTGGTCCAGAAAGGGGAGCAAGATGTGATCTCCGATGGCGAACAGGGTGAGTGGCTTTGGGCTTCACGTCGTGTCAGCAAGCCAGTGTGGCCGTGCTGGGTACAAGCCCCCCAAAAAACCTCTCATTCACATACGGTACAGGTGCTCAGTGTCACATTTGCATGTCACGTGATTACTCGTGTCTCACACCTTCACACACGTGCATCACGTGTTCCACATACAGAGGGACCTCCTGATGAGCTTGTTAACCACAATTTCTTCAAAGTTCATTATTTCTCACTGTTTTGCAAAAGGAAGTGACAGTCATGAATGTTGATCCTAGTTGATACCAGCTGCAATGGCCAAAGTCCTATCAGTTTATAAGCAACAGCCCAATGGGAAAATGGCTGTAACAGCAGGTGGTACTCCAGGGTCCCTGACATGCCACCTCTGTCTTGCCTGTGGCATAAATGCAGTTATTTGAATATTTTACTGCATTTTATCCTATTTTATAAAAACGAGTGGAAAGTGAAGAAATCCTAGAAGCTGGGAGTAGTGGTGGGAATCACCAGGTGCTGAAATGTGGCAAATCATCCAGTCACATTCTTTCAGCGGGAACCTGTGACCACTGAGTGAGAACGAGGTGGGGGTGTGGGTAGAGGGCCTGAGATGCACCGCCAGCGCTTGCTCATGTCTACACAGTGAGGTGTATAACCAGAGAACATTAGAATACCTCTAGCTCCCTGAAAACAAATCCTCCCTTCATTAAAATCTGATCAGGAGGCAGAAAGCACACCAGTTATTCTCGAGAGAAATTCGCACAAAAAACTGTCACCTGGGTGTAGAGTTGCTGACTAGGTTGTGGAAATCAGGGCCAACACCGAACAGAAGGCACATTAGTCACATGTGTGTGCACTCAGTCTCACATGCTGGGCAGGAAACACACTGTGTTCTCTGAGAGATCCTGAAACCTTTGGGCACTTGTATTATTGTAAAGTACTCTAGATTCTAACGTATCAGAGCATATTAACAGCCCATTTTGGGGATATTTTCCAAAGAAATAGAAATTTCTCATTACACAGCATAAATGAAGTCATGAGCATTATCAGCCGGGTCCACACTAGGTACTAGCGCATCTCCTTGAAAGTGGACTCTGTTGTGTGAGATATGCTGGTGGGCTTGGTCTTCAGGAGCCTGCAGGACTGAGGGCCCCATGTGTGCTGTGCGAGTGTGCTCTTCTCTGTTTCAGCAGGTCCCTTGGCGGTTCTGAGTCATGGGTGTCTCCACTGACCACCACCATACTGAACAGGTGGTTCTGGGGCAGCCCAACCTCTGCCTGCCTTGGTTCCCTCTCCTGTAAAAGAGGCCTCCTTGTTAGAGACAGACAGGGAAGAGCCACAGATGACCCAGTACCCTTTGAGCAGAGACAGGCCACCCACTCTAACCCCCGTCTTGCTTTTTGATCAGTGCTCGAGTGCAGCCAGCAGGGCAGCAACCGCAGGTGTGGTGGGCAAGGAGACCTCCTCTCAGGCTCCCTGGGCGTTTTGGTGCACTGGGCACTCCACGCTGGACCCGAGAAAACAAATGGGTATGGCTATATCTCCATCTGTCCTACTTTGAAATTTTTAACTGTTAGCTATTTTAGTAGTTCATACATTTTATAAGTAGCCACTTGGAACATTCCAAATGAAATATTGCTATTATTGTAACATGGAAGAGCTCTCAGGGCAGGGGTTGATGCTAGACTGCTTGCCTGGGGAGCTTTTACTCCATAAGATGGCTCACCCCATCCGGCAATGCCAGCGGCCTCTGGGGCATCCTTAGCTTTTAAAGCTTACCAGTTAACTCTAATGTGCAGCCAAATTTGAGAACACAGTTTTTGGAGGTTCCATGTGTACCCTCTGTGTATACTTGTGGGTGGAAGTAGAGCTTACTTGAATGTTATCCTGGAAGATGTGAGTTTTAAGAATTCTAAGCTGTGGGCTTTGGCACCCATCACGGTGACAATATGGCTGCACGTGCTGGGTGGCATGTCTTGGGCTGGAGGGCCCTTCCTGACACCTGATAAAGCAGTGTTGGGCCCTTGAGGTTGCAGCACACCTGGCAGGCAGGGAGCCCTCACCCAAAGGGGCCCAAGGGGCATGTGCACATGGAAAGGAAGCTATAGCAGGAGTTTAGTAATGGAAGAACTTGCATTTTTAGATCTTGACTATTTCCTCACATCCTGGACACTAAAGAGCACTTTTAATTATAACCAATAAGTCCTGGTCCGGTTCTCACAAGGGAAAACTGCTGTGTTTTAAACTTTCTCCAGACGGATAGGTATTTTCGATACACCTTTTGTCAGGGAATACCACTATCTGGATTAATGGTTATCGTAACTGTAATAAAGCTGCCTTCTGCCTCAGGGGCATATCAGACTAGAAATTGCCAATTTGGGGTCTCAGGGCAGAAAGAGGAAGGAAATCAGAGCCTTTGATAGCTTCTGGCCCCTGAAGTCTGACGCAGCAGTGGAAGCCGAGGACTTCCCGCTGCCTTGCTAATTCCTCTGCCCTCCAGTTTCAGCCCTCTCCTCCTGGCTGCCTTCGGTGCGTGCTCCCTTACAAGGCAATGCAGCCACCAAGCCTTCCAGAAGCACGGCCGCTCCACCACCACCACTGACATGATCTCAGAAGTTGGACCTGCATTCAACACACTCTTTGAAACCTGAGCCGATGCAAACAGGAAAAAGTGGGCACCATGATGGGAGCGACTGCTTTCATAATGGGAAAATCCACATCCAGTACATCTGAATCCTGTGTACCAGAGCAGCGCGGGCTGACTGGGAGGTTTGTAAGGGAAGAACTTGCATTTTTAGATCTTGACTATTTCCTCACATCCTGGACACTAAAGAGCACTTTTAATTATAACCAATAAGTCCTGGTCCGGTTCTCACAAGGGAAAACTGCTGTGTTTTAAACTTTCTCCAGACGGATAGGTATTTTCGATACACCTTTTGTCAGGGAATACCACTATCTGGATTAATGGTTATCGTAACTGTAATAAAGCTGCCTTCTGCCTCAGGGGCATATCAGACTAGAAATTGCCAGTTTGGGGTCTCAGGGCAGAAAGAGGAAGGAAATCAGAGCCTTTGATAGCTTCTGGCCCCTGAAGTCTGACGCAGCCGTGGAAGCCGAGGACTTCCCGCTGCCTTGCTAATTCCTCTGCCCTCCAGTTTCAGCCCTCTCCTCCTGGCTGCCTTCGGTGCGTGCTCCCTTACAAGGCAATGCAGCCACCAAGCCTTCCAGAAGCACGGCCGCTCCACCACCACCACTGACATGATCTCAGAAGTTGGACTTGCATTCAACACACTCTTTGAAACCTGAGCCGATCGATGCAAACAGGAAAAAGTGGGCACCATGATGGGAGCGACTGCTTTCATAATGGGAAAATCCACATCCAGTACATCTGAATCCTGTGTACCAGAGCAGCGCGGGCTGACTGGGAGGTTTGTAAGTCTAGGATATATGGGTTGATGTAGAGGATTTTAGAATGCAGTACTTTTTGGCTAAACTAATAAGCAGTTTGAGATGTTATAATGACACTAAACAAAGTATTCCTAAACTTTTCTTAGCTTCCCAGCAATAAGAGAAAAAAATGGAGAATCACTTGAAAATGGGAAATGCTTTCACCAGCTCAGCTGAATTTTAGCTTGCTCCAAGGTCAGAATTCTGTTTTAATCCCTCTGAGCTTATGTCTTCTCATTCTCTCTACTTATGTATTTCATGTTTTTTATTTATGCCATAAGTTCTTATTAAATAGCCCTCACAAAGGGATCCAGTCATTTCCAAATATCTGAGTAAATAAGTTTTCCACCAAAGGATGTGGTATTCATTCTTTAGCTCATTTTTGTTTTTTAAATAGTGATTATGTTGAAAGGTCTGGGCAGAAATATGAAGCACTGATTGATTAAAGTATTCAGAATAATTAGTGATTAGTTTGACCTTGGAAATCCTTTTAGAGGCACCCTGGGAAAATCAGAAAGAAACTTAATGGGACACTGATATCTGAATGCACACGTGGGGGATCTGAAATACCTCGTGTTTTACACTTTTCCATGTCTCTGCACACAAGTCCATGGGGTGGCTGATGAGGCCCAGCAGGGCGTGCATGAGTGGGAGGGATACCTGGGAGAGTCACAGTGCTGTTCCTGATGTGGCCTCTTGGGAGGAAGGCTTTGGGATGCTGGGTCTGGTGCGAGATGCACCAAGGAGGCCCTGGGGTGACTAGAACGTCATGGTCATGCCTGCTTATGGAGGACAGCTGTCCTTCTGGTTTGAAAGTGGGTGTGTCCTCAGGAAGATTTAGATTCCATTAAAGAAGTTGGTATCTGTGAAACTCAGACATTTTATTATCTTGTTAGCGTCTAGTTCACTTCTGTGTGGTTGTCTGTATAGATGACTGTTCACGAGGGGTTTTCTTAGTGACCCGAGAGTTGCTTGTTTTCTGTCATTTCCCTGTGGGGTTTGGTTCCTCACACATGTATCTGAGTGTACTCTTACTGTTTAATAATGCCTACTATAAGGGCAAGACCTGTCCAGTTCCTTTAAAAGTCTGTTTGCCCTTTATGATTACTCTTGGATGAAGCTTTGTGGTTCAGACACCTCACCCCAAATGGATTGTACTTTCCTTAAACCAGCCATGAAATTTTAAGATTTCTTAAATATTTGCCACTGTTATTTCACATCTAACTATAGAAGCTTCACTATATGTGAATGTCTCCAGAAAAACTGTCACGGACATTTTTTCCTTTGGGGAATTACATCTAAATCTTGGTAAATATTAAAAGGCAGCTAATGTATTTCAAGGTAGTTAAGTTTTTGCTCTGAATAAGTACAGAATTTTTTGTTTAAAAGGGAGATAAGACAGGAAGTATACCCAGGTAGCCAGGGTATACTTCTAAATGAACTTAGTATTTGCTTCCTTGTTCTTTTACAAAGCTGTGTGTACTGACTAGCTCCAGTGAAGGACTTTCCTACTGGGAGCCTCCCATGAGAACAGGGTAGCAGCACAGAAGTACTGGATGGGCAACTCAGGTGTCCAGCCATCGGGGGACAGTCTGCTCCCAGTATACTGAAATGACCCTATTTGGATGTCTCCTGCCACCTGGGGTCTTTGCTCGACCATGCACTAAGTGGACTACTTTTAGCAAGTCAGCTTCTGAATGGGTTTCCTTATGTGTAGTTAGGAACACCAATGCTTTTCAGGGTCATGCCGGTCAATGACAAACATGTATTTGTCTGCTGAGCCATACCAAACCATCTCTGACTATGCCTAGGGTATGCTTACCTGCTGCCTAAAGCTATACCTGGCCAGGACCTGAAAGCTGGGGTAAGCAGCTAGAGGGTCACCCTGTTTCCTGCTGGTTCACTGAACAGCTGTAGCTCCCCACCTGCAACAGAAAGGTGAGGGAACCAAGAGCAAGGCCACCAGCAAGCCTGGTCTGCCATGTGCCCTCTCATACACTTGGCCACCTCTATCATACTTCTGTGTCTTGTTCTCACCCCTGCCATACAGATTCCAGAATTAATGACCATCCCCATTTCAGCACTGCCCAGCACCTAAAGTACTGGCCACTTCCTTTTGCTTTAGAGCAGGCAGCATGGCCACATCCCTCCAAGGTCCCCCAGGAAAGGGGTGTCCTGGAAGCTGCTGCCCTGTTGGCCCCATTCACATGTCCTACCTGCCCTTCCATGACGTCTCCTTAGACCCCCCAATTAGGACTTATATCCTGGGCTCTGGGCTCAGTCCTCCCACGCTGTCAGACCCTGGGGCACTGCAGCTGGCTGGCTGGCATCATGGATGATTTTACTAAACTGCACTGTGTCTATGGCCATTGATACTATAAAGAAATTCATTTTTTTAGGCATAGTTGCTAACACCAATGGGACAGTATCAGTTTTAATGTTGGCTAAACAGCCACAATGGAAAACTTTAATATAAAGCTATCATGATGTAAGCACAGAACCGCACTGTTAGCCTGTAGTTCCCACTTCACGCGTCCTCAGGTCCTCGGTTTGTGGTCGTCTGACCTCAGATCCAGCAGTTCCCATGTGGACGTGCTGCTCCTGTCCTGGGGGAGGAAGAAGGTCCTGGCTGAGTAGGCTCACTAGGCTCAAGTGGTAAATAGGCGAGACAGTCAGGGCTCAGAGTGACAGGAGGCACTGCCAGTGTCCTGATGCTTCCACTGGTCTGGGCTGCACTAAAGGAAGCAGCTGAACGCTTATTAACAGTCACACTGCTGCCTTCCATTGGCAGGGCACGGAGAACAGGTTTGCTCCTGTTCCACCCCAAGTCCCCAAGCTTACATGCCCCTGGGCCTCAGTGTCCCTCTAGGGTCTGACTCTGCCCCTCACCCCCAAACCCTTCTCCCTCAGTGCCTTCCGGCTTTGACCCCTCCCGAACTCCTAATTCCTCACGAGTGGGTTTCTGCTGACAGCAGCATCGGCAGGGGATGCCTGAGCTTTCACTGTTCTGTGTTTGCGTGACGCTGGTTTACACGGCACCTCGGGGTGGTCACCCCCATTGTCACTGGGCCTCAGTGGCACTGGCCTACCTTAATACTGATGCCATGGGCAGCAAGGTCCTGGCGTAGGGTGTCGCATGCCTCCAGCAAGGGCTGCCTCTCCAGGAGCTGCTGCCGCCGGGCCTCCCTGGTGGCCTCTCCCGTGGCCAAAGCAAATTGCCGGACCTTGAGCCGGAATCGGACCAACTCCTCCACCACGCTGTACAGATTAGCCGAGCTGCTGTCCCCTGAAACAAACTACACCCCACGCAGAGCTGTGTGACCAGTGAGGCCCTGGCGGCAGCCCACACAGCAGACTATATGGGGAGAATAACAACCTAAGGAAATTTGTGTACCATGCTGGAAGGCAAGGTTCTCACTATCAGAGAAGTTACATATGGAAAGGAAGGAAAGCAGAATGTACTCTTTGTCGGGGGGCTGAAATTGAGATGTTGGTGGTAACTCCAGTCAATGTCGATGAAAATAAACTGTGCGCAGAGCTGATGACACACCACTCTATGTAGCTAACATGGGCTGCTGGTTCTGCTCAGAACTACTGCAATTTTAGTGTTAACTTTTTCAGGAACATATTTTAAGCATGTAAATAAATTTGGTACTATGAACATTTTTAAAGAGAAAAAAGTGGTTATTATTGTACTAGCACATAGATATCCCACAACTGAGGGCTGGAAAGAGAAGGGTGTACCTGTCGGGCTGCCAGGGAAATTCCAACAGTGTCAAAAAACTGCTCAACATAGGAGATGATGGAGCCAAACACAGCAGGACTCCTAGGACCACCAGGTTCCTGTGAAAAATCACCCAAAGGTGGCTGTTAAAAGCAAAGGACACTCAATATAACAGAACAAAGACCTCACAGGTCACCTCTGCCTTTCCCTTTTTCAGTGTCTTGTGGAGACACTGGACTAAGTCCTGGTTGTCTCTCATTAACAAACTAATGACCGTGGGTTAATGGAAGTCATTTAACCCCTGTATCTGAGTTCACCCATCTGTAATACGAGGATGTGTTATGGTCTGAATGCTTATGTCCCCCCAAATTCCTATGTTGGAACCTAACTCCTAGCATGATGGTTTTAGGAGATGGGGCCTTTGGGAGGTCATGAGGGTAGAGCCGCATGGACGGGGTTAGTGCTCAGGCTGGGTGGACAGAGTCGGGGTCCCAACACAGAAGTTCTCCCATTTCATGTTTTTGCAACAAACTCGAGTTCTACAGAGTTCCTCTAAGCGAAAAGGAGGGTGATGTGTTCCTTTTGTTAGCAAACATGTGAAGCCAACTGTCAGTGTGCTGGGACCTCCCTGTATCCCACTTATACCCGTATCTACTTGTCTGGGCTCTGCGAGGTGGCTGTCTCCTTTGTAGTTCAAACAGGGCAGGGCTCACTGAGGGTGAAGCAGCTCCAGGAACTTAGAGGTTAGTAAGGAGAGGTCTGGAAGCCACCAGCGGTGGGAAACTGGGAGCGTTCTAACTGTTCCTCATGAGGAAAAACCAAACAAAAACCCTACTCTGTGGCCCTGTCCTTGGAGTTACCTTAGTGATGGCCTTCAGCTGTCTGTTCCCATGGCGAATGAGGTCCATGATGGCATCCACAGCCCTGGGTGTGTCAAAGTCATCTGCCAAGGCAGCCTTCACAGCCACCTTGGTGTGGCTGAGCCTTGGAGGAGAGATGAGAAACAAACTCGTCACTCACTCCCTGGACCAGCCCGGCAGCGGTGGCCTCCCGTCTAAGCCACTAGCAGGCACATGGCCCTATTCCGGCCCCCTGCAGCTCTGTCTCCTTTCCTCTACTGTCAGACCCCTTTAGAGCAGTCTCCGTAATGGTCAACCTGCTCTCAGTCCCAGCCCATGACAAGGAAACTCAGGTCCCCTTGGCCGCCCTCCTCCCCTTTCAGACTTCAGGCCCATTCCCCATGGCACCATCAGGTCCCCTCAGCCCTCCTTTCTCTGCATGGTCTCTCCTATGCACCCGCCGCCTGTCACTGATCCCTCCAAGGCTTCACCTCCACATCTAACTCCCTGCTGCCCCTCATTAGTGGTCTTCACCCCACTTCCTTTGGATTCCCATCTTTCTAGGCATGGGAAAGAACTGGGCTCCAGGCCACCTTGCAGTGGGACCAGTTCTGGCCATTCTGAGCAGTATCCACATTGGCCAGTGTTGAACTGCAGAGGCGAAGCCCCTGGAGCCCTCTCTTCCCTCCAGCCTAGCACCCTCGTGGTGACAAGGCCTCTGTTCATTACACACTAATAAATGCCAGCAGACAATCCCATCCAGGCAGCCACCCCAGAGGCAGGGCCTCCT